GTTCTCTTACTTACTACTGATTCTGTGGGTTTGAGTAATTCGTAGTTTATAGAAGAAATAGGCTAGATTGTTCTTAAGATACTGTTAGTTTATAAAACTCTTATTAATTATTCTGCACTGTACTGCATTCGCGTGGCATTCGATAATCCTATATATCCACTCTTCTAGAAAGAAATGGGCTACATTATTCTAGAATCACTGATAAAGGCTTTCATCACTAGTGTTCATTCTTCTTTCTGTGACAGTAGTAGCGTAACATTCGGTACTAACTGTTACGTTCATTCTAGAAGAAATAGATTGAAATATTTGAAAAGGACTTCACTTATTGTTTTCATCCGTCTGATACATTATTTTCCTAATGACTGTGTTTGTGGGGATTCTGTATTTGCTATTATGTCCTAAAAGAAATAAGCTGACTAAAACACTGATAAAATTAAATAATACTACAAACTGAGGTTAGATTACCTTACTTTGAAGACCAGGCAGGCAATTAGTGTATGTTTGCGGCACATATATATTTGAAACAAATATAACAAATATTGTATGTCACAAACTCACCACATAATACAGGGAAATTATCTTTTCCAAGAGTTATTACCTCAAGTGAGCACTTAGAAATAAGAAAATAGCAAAATGCTTATCTTTACGGAAGCGTTGGACATACAGCACAGTAAATTGTCATGTGCCACGGAGCACAAGGGCAATGGTCTTGGGGACAATTTGGTCACCAAAGCGTTAAGATCGTTAACTTGCTCGTGGAAGTCATTTGGACGATAACCGATTGAGATTCTACCATATACCATTAGTAGTTTTACTGATCTGCGAGTTTAAAGATTCATTGCAAATTGTGTAATTGGTAAGAGAAGATCGATTCACTATAAGGTATTTTAGTATGTTTACTATAAGAATATCAGTATTTCATGGCTTTGCTCACATGTATGTGTATTATGGACGCTGCTGCCCATCTCTAAACTATTAAATTTCCTCTGTAACCTCTTACAATACCCACGGGACAGGAAGGGATAGCCCATTCTATGCCGAAACCACTCATACTTCTTAGGAATTGTTTGAAATGCTGCCTACAGCCACTTTTTATTATCACACTGCTCGCCATCGACAAAAAATTCTTCTTCACACGCTTGAACTTAAATGATGGCGTACACTGCGGTTTCAAAGGAATTTTCACCCACGTACGCTCAGGCTGTGGAATGCGGAGGTTTTTCTTAGAGACTATAGTATGAAGTTCTACAAAAAGGGTCTATTAAGGCTTTTTCAGGGTCAGCAACGTGCATATGACACCCCTTGTGCTACAGGAATCAATAGGCTACACCGATCGTTTACCATCAGACGGGCTGTATGCTTATTAAGCTGTATTAATAAAATAAATAAATTTTGTAACATAATTTATTTATTATTGTGACGTTGTAAAGCATTAGAAGCTCAGTGGCAGCAAATCTTTTTGCAAAGTAGTAAATATTGATAATTTAGCATATAATGACATAAATGACGAAAGAAAATATGAGGCAATAAGACAATGAGGTTGTACAAATTGCAGAACACAAATCACCGCGGGCGATAAATAATATCCAGTAGCATGTAATAATTTGAATATGATTATTAGTTCAAATAGAAATAGCCGTTGCATCATTATTATCTGTTGAATATTTAATGATCAATGGTCATGACGGAACAACGGGTTTTGGAGACAATAGCAAACTGTAAAGCAGCATGTGTCACGGACGAGAAATGACTACGACATGACCGCCTCGCGATCACCACCGGCCGTGACGAGCTTCTACGCGTGGTCAAATCTTTGGCTAAAATGGTTTCTTTGCCATGATCTTTATGAGCATATTGTGAATTATTTTTATTTATTTGGTTTATTATAAATTTATTTCCTGCATTTTACTCATCGTCGTTTTTTTTTTGTTTTCATCCCGTATCTTATGGCATAACAATTTTTTTTTCGCATTTATTTTTGTTTGCTGTTATACACATATTCATGTCAAAGTTAGCCATATCATCGTTTATACATTGTAATTGTAGATTTTACCATTAAAATAAAATGCTAGTGGGCTAATCACATTTGCTAAAAGCCTGATAATTGTTGATATCAATACCGAATGGCTTTCGTATATATCGAAGTACAGGTTAAAGCAGCGATAGGAGTAGCTAGAATTTTATAGTAGCCGGTACTATTTTTGCTGGCACCATTTAAGAATGATACAGGCCTATATTCCATTAGGCTAAAATCTACAACAGCAGGAGGCTCTCACAGACGCCCGGGTAAAGAGGTTTTACTCAAAGCCCCTCCGTGTGTGTAGATTTAAATTTTTATTGAAAGTTTAAGTTGCTAACTAAACCCCTTAAAAGTTTAATGCCATGTAATAAAAAATAATAAGAAGTCAACTTTATGATTATAATAGTACTAAATTATCTAATGATGCTTAATTTTAAGACTGCAGTCTGTGCATATTAATGTAAATATAAAATTATATACTATAACGTAATATGATAAACTTTTCAAAAGACAGTATATGATTCCGTTAATGCCAGTCACCAGTTTAAACCATTTTAGCTTACTTGTGACCAAGAAATGGAACATAGTGGAACAATATTAAATTGGAAGATCAGAAAATCGTCGGTAGCGGTACTTACAGAAGATTAGCCCATCTAATGGTCTTAACCAAATATGGTCCACATAAAATTTTGCATTCATATGTCACATGTGAGACACTGTCTCGTCTCTCGGCCAAATTGCTGTTTCCGCTTCGATGAATTAGAAATTTTGATTAGAAAGTAATTTGCCGTGAATTTTGTCGAGTGTTATATTGTTTACATTAAATTCAGATGAATCTAGGTCTTTTAAGAAAATCAGTTCTATAGCTACTAAATCGATGTTATTGTGCCTATAATAATTTGTCTCTAATTTTTTTTTTCTTTTGTCTTATATTATATTTAATAGGTCTTTTAAGAAAAATCAGTTCTATAAGGAATATTAACTAAATACATCAATGATGAATTATAAAAATATTTAAATTTAGAACAAGGAATGAAGTGTCAAATAATAATAAATTGTCTTTAATTTTTTTTTTTTTCTTTTCAGTAACAATTATATTATATTTCAATAAATTTGAGAATGATCTCTAGATTGCAAAAATCGTCTTTATCTTAAAAACAAGAAAACAACTTCAGCGTGTAATATTTTTTCTTTACGTTTTCCTAGTACATTTGGCTACACATAAAGGCAATTAAATTTATTTATTAAAATTAACTGTATACATTATAAGGAATATTAACTACATACAAAATACATCAATGGACGACAAGATGAATTAAAAATAAAAATATATTAATATTTAGAACAATTTTGCACTGGTAATGTTATATAATTATAAGTTATAATCAGTCAAATGAATAGAAATAAAACAATTGTATCTCAAAATCGTATAAAAAAAATCGGTAACATCTTTAGCAACTTAAACAATTTAAAAAAATAAGTATTTTCAACAAAAAACTAATAACTAATCTTCATCAGATACAATTCTTACATTCGTATGCAAGAGATGATGAGTGATGTTTGGCAAGAGATTTTTCCAGCCTTCTCCTGCAACACTGTCAATAAATGACTCGCAGCATTCCAGACAAAGACATTCTTCTTCTTCAGAACTCGAACTCGTATCTTTTTCTTGTATAATCTTTCTTTTCACTTGTTTATTTTTATTTGTATCTTTTTCTTGTAAAATCTTTTTTTTCACTTGTTTATTTTTCTTCGAGACAGCTTTTTTACGAGAGACCATTTTCTTATTCTTTTTATTTTCTTGTTCCAAAGACAACGCTTCCTTTTCAGGTGTGTCTGTTAATATAGCTGCCTTTCGTCGTTTCCTGCTGGTAACATTACGCGGTCCTGCCTGAGGGAAAGGCCTGATGGATTCCGGAGAAAATATTGATGGCTGAGCAAACAAGGATGAAGCTGACGTAGATGGTTGAGGCTCAATGTTTGAAGATGGAACTGTACAGGACCTTAATGGCAGACAATCTTTTTCAACAGCAGCTGTAGAAGACAACATTAGGTCACTTGAGGACAGCAAAACTGAGACGGTAGGCAACTGAGGCCCTACTGTAGACAACTGAGAAGGAGATACAGGAGATATACTTGCTGAAACAACTGCTACAACTTCGGGCTGCGAAGAAATTAACAAACTTGGTGAACCTGGAGAAATAGGCAACTGGGGCTCTGTAGACATAGGCGGCTGTGACTCATTAGGTACAGAAGACGTTGTTGGATTGTTCGGATTTGGTCGGTCTGTCAAAATCAAACACTTCCCGGTTGAACGGGTAAACCCCAGCTTTTGAAACCCTTTCGAGATGTTGTTGGGAGTCAGTGCCAAAGGTAAAGCTGTTCGGACGATGCCTGGGATATCGTAAATGCTCATTGTTTTTCCTGGGTGGCCAATCCAATCTTGTGCTGACGATAAATACCTTTTAAACGGCCCGAAAACAGACACGTCTATGCAGCTATGGGAACAATGAGGAGGATACGACAGCATCACTACTCCATTATTTTTCGCTAGATCCAACACTTCCACTGACAAGTGCGAACTGTGATTGTCTAGTAAAAGCAAAACTGGCGACTCTTTAGTTGGCTTCACATAAGTGATGAAATGTTTCATAAAAAGCAAGAATTCCGTATCAGTCATCCAGCCGCTTGCATTTCCTGCACCAATACATTCTGCTGGCCCATCTCGCACGAAATGAATTTCTTTCTTGGAAATACGAACATTGGAGGTATCGAAGATCCAGTTGCCGAAACAGCTACCAACAATGTTACATTAGTTCCTCTTTCAGCAGATGTGACAGACCCGACGTTTCTTTTCCCTTTGGCTGCAATTATTTTTGAAGGTTTATTTACAGTCGAGACACCAGTCTCATCAGCATTCCATATAGACGAACCTCTGAATTTGTGACGATCCATCACGTGTGCCAATTTATCAAAATATTCACAAACGTTCGTTCGATTGAAAGAGGTTGCTCAAACTAGTAGCCTCTGGCTTCCTGATAGAGAGACGGTCATTCCTTGACAAGAATCCCGTCAGCCAGTCCTTTCCAGCCATCTTATTTGTGTGCCATACCTCAGGAATCTTCAAATTATATTTTACAGCGCATTCATAAGCCAAGCGACGAACATCTTTAGGGCCTATACCGTGAAAGATTTGTGCAAGTGTCAGTAAATACTCGCAGAGAGAAGTTTCTTGTTCTTGGTTAAACACTAATCTGGGAGTGCCGTAGCCAAATTTTGGCGACTCCGGATTTTCCTTTAACCGCGCCATGAATCTCTTCAATGAAGTTCTGCTAATCTCATAGTCACGACAAACTTGCCTTATTGATTTATCTTCATTTGCGACTAAATCAGCCGCTCGCTTCATCAGCTCAACGGACTTCGTACCACGCTCAGTGGTTTTTTTATAATTCCGCATTCTGAAAATAAAATAGAAATTAATACATAGAATCAAAATAATTCGTGGGGCTTAAAGGTCCACCGCGGTCCTTTGTGCCCCAATGGTAGGTGGACTGTTGTTTTAGGTTATGTAGAAAAACAAGGTGATGCAAACAAAAAAACAATGGCACTACGTGAAACTTAATACCACTAAACATTTATACAGAGAAATTATGTTTCGTAAGTTTAAAAATCGAACAATGAGACTAAAACTAAGTAAAATCTAAAACATTACTTACGTGTAATTTTCGCACCACTTGCGCGTACACTCTTGCCGGCTCTGGAAAATGCACTGCGCGGGGCGGCATGCGCACCCGTCCCTCGTCCCCTTCACGCACCGGTCACTCCGTTGTCTAACGTGCACTTAGTTTCGGAGATAGGCATGGTGGACCTTTTTACCCGCGGACCTTTTAGCCCCGCCCTACCCTACATTTTGAAACTACTTACTTTATTACTATTTATTATAATTTTATGTAGTTTTTGGTATGAAATTATAATTTACATTTTACAGAGTCCAATTTTATTATCACTATATATTTTATGATGTAATTTTTTTTTATACAACTTAGAATGGCAAACAAGCTGACGGCCCAACTGATGGAAAGTGGTAACCGTCGCCTATAGACATGAGCAGTACCATGGACATAACAGAGTATACTGTTTCGCCCATGATACCCCCCATGCGTTGCCATTCCTGAGGACTCGGGTGTTATTCCTCTGTAATCAGTAAATTCACGCCATATCCCACCCTTCAAACCGAAACACAGCCATGCAAACACAACTGCTTCACGGTTGAAACACGAATGGGACAGAGGTACCCAAGCAATCGACTTTTGTGTTTTTTTTTTCTGGTGTATCTATCTGATCATAAGTAATATATGGTAATTATTTTTCGATCATACACTTACTCAGTATTTTTTTTTTTTATAATATGAACTACATACAGCGTCAGGTGCGGTCTATTAATGTACAAGCCGTGTAGATAGCACGTGGTAAGTTTTTGTAGACATTTCCTGTTCATTTAAGAAATCGGTCAATGGGTTAAAGGGTTGAGGCCATTCGATTAAAAAACTTTAATCCTGTATTGTTAGACGGCCATATGGTTGTAGCATTTTGTTATAAACTAGTATTACACCTGATGACTTCTGTCGATTATGTAGTTTTCCTCTAATATATTAGTTTTTTTACACTTCTCTAATTCAACCATTGATATTGTTTTATAATTTATGTAAATATTTATTTTAACTTCTGTTTAGCACTACTACTACCCACTCACTACTTGCTATGCCACTGTGTTAGGTTAACTGGAAGAAATCTCTTTTAGAGATAAGTTCGCCTTTGCTAACATTGTTATTAACTTATTGTTGTTACTGTATGTTTTAGTGCAATAAAGAATATATATTGTTTTCTTAGTGTTATATTTTCTTAAAATTGTTTGTGTTTTTATTGTAATTTATAATAACTTTAGTATTGTAATCTTATGGAGGAAACAATAAAGAGTATCATCTATACCAGTATCATCATATCAGCCTTTTTTTAATGGGTGAAAATGCATGGTTACCCCGCCTGCACCATCAGCATACACCGGCGGGGCACCAGTCAGAGGTGATAGGTGAGGATAAAAAGGCAAGTTAGTTAGCCCATCGTGACAAATTCAACGATAATTTAGTCACGATAGTTTCCAGGGGGAATCGTGCGGAGGTCGACCTGATAAGGTATACTAGGGAAGGGGCTAGCAAAAGGGCTATTAAATCCCTTTAATAACAATTCCTTGCCTCCGGGGGCATATCAGCTGTTATCTGTCCACTATTGGAGATAGTTCTTTATAGACTAACGTTGTAAGGAACGGATTTGTTCCTTATGGCAGTTTAGCGTTAGGGAAATTTTGCCAGTAGTTGCCACGTTTGAAGTTGGCAACCACCGTTTGGTTTTTGGTGATGTTTTGAGAGAGACGCTGCTACCAATACCTTGATTATTAGGTTTCATTAGTTGTCTCTTACGACACTTACGTGGTTAGGATGGGGGGGGGGGGGGCATTTTATGCTCCTCAATATACATGTGCAGGGGGAAAGGGATTGTTAGTAATGGAGACTGAGAATCCCATTGCTAGCAATATACCCAACCAGGTCGACATCCTCACGATTCTCCCTGGAAACTATCACGGTTAATTCCTGATGAATTCATCATGATGGGCTAACTGACCTGTTTTCATTCTCATCTATCACACTTCACTGGTGCTCCGCCAGCGTATCCCGTTAGCGCAGGCATATATACATGTGCATAGATTTAATTTCACACTCTTTTGAATTTTTTTTCGACAAGACCTTTTTGCCTTCGAAATGTGTAAAAAATGTTGTAAATTACCATATAACGACTGTGCTTTTATCTCGGTATCAAAGTCTGAAATAATACACAAAAAAGTATAAGGCAAATCCTTTTTTTTTTAATTAACCCCATGTGATAAAAACTCTCCCCTACATTTTAGGATTCCTTACTACAAAACGTGAATATGAAATTAAGTGCTTATTTCGTTAATTTATTTTGTATTTACTTTTATTACACATATTAAGACACTGGCTTTGTCCGCGTAACCGAGATATCTTTACTTTCTCTCTCTCTTTTCAGTCGTACACTCTTGAGTGGTCGTGGTTTTTATGATGGTAGTGGATCGTCGATGAGGCCCTCCTTCGCGACTGAGGTCCTCGCATTGCGTCTCCATCTACTTCTGCTCACAACCGAGCGAGAGCATTTCACAATAGACTGCTGTGTGGCCGTTTTGATGAGGTCAGTCCATCGCTTTGGTGATCTACCCCGAGAACATTAACCTTGTACCGTCCCTTGGACAATTAGATGTTTCATACAATTTTCATTCCGGATGATATGGCTGAAGTACTTAAATATATCTCTACTAAAGGGGATAAAAAGTCCCTCCTTAGACTAGTTCCTTAGAGTAGTACTGCTCAGTAGATACTCTCTCTACTCTCATCTACATAGTTTTTCAGTGCATTTAAAAAAAAACAATTTCGTTCAGAGATATTCGGAACCCTCTGCGTGCATTTTACACTCAGACTTGACTAGTTTTTTTTATGCGCTTATTCTAATTTCTTCATTGCTTACTTACCGTATAATTTACAATGTTGTTTTATAAAGCTCGCCAAACTGGCACATGTATTATCCCTAAACCAGTTTTTAACGGTTCTACAATATATACATATCATCGCGTTCATATTTCCAACATGGGGTAGATAGAAATAATTGCTTAATAGAAAACAAAATAGTTACAAATTTCAAATAGAATCAAACATATTTCAACTTAATAATAAGTATGAGACCAACAGGGATGATATTTATTTTTAATAAAAAAAAAAAACGAATTAACAAATTTAATTAGTAATTTTTTTTATACAACTTAGAATGGCAAACAAACTGATGGCCCACCTGATGGAAAGTGGTAACCATCGCCTATAGACATGAGCAGTACCATGGATATAACAGAGTATACTGTTACGCCCATTATGCCCCCCATGCGTTGCCATTCCTGAGGACTCAGATTTTATTCCTCTGTACCCTGTAAATTCACGCCATATCCCACCCTTCAAACCGAAACATAGCCATGCAAACACAACCGCTTCACGGCAGAAACACGAATGGGACAGAGGTACCCAAGCAATCGACTTTTGTACAAAGTCTCCCTCCTTATTAGAATTAAGTAAAATGTCCACTGCTGAACGTAGGCCTCCGCCTATTGGGGTGTTTTGCCTGTAGTTGCCTCGTTTGACAGGCAGGTTGACAATCGCAATTAGGTTTTGGTGATGTTTTATGTTAAAAGAGACGCTGCTGCCCATTCCTCGACTTTAACAGTTCTCATGAACATAAGCCGAATCCCCGCAATGCATTTGAGGTCGTTACTTCAATTAAGAAGGCCGTTCTAGTAGAAGCCATAATAGTGATTTTTAGAACTTTTGTCCGTCTGTCTGACTGTATGAATGTTTGTTCTGGTAACACTCGAAAACTTTATCTTGATACGCAGCGTAGGAAGGGTATAATGGGCGACACAGTATATTCTGTTATGTCCATAGTACTGTTTATATCTATAGGCGACGGTTACCATTTTCAATTTGCTATTCATAAAAAAAGTACATAAAAAGAACAACAGACAATCCTCTTTGAAGTTATATTAAAATTAATATCTAAAACTGAAATGTCTCTCCTTGTAGTAACTATCTCTTTTTTATTACATAATATAATAGTTATAGGTATTTGACCACGTAAACGGGAATCATGACGTGACCGCGGACGGGGAGGGCCGTCCACACTCGGCGCTGTCTCCGCCCCACCCGATATGGACACCCCCTAGGGGTGGATGCGATACTGTTTACTAAGAGGTGGTTGGAGTATCTACTCCATTATTTACTTATTTGACTTAAATATGTTACGAGAAATTTCATAGTTCTATACAAAACTCTTATATACTTGTCCGTATACACATTTTCTATGTATTTCTTTTTCTTAATTTAAATTATATTCTTGTTTCTAAAATGTCACTTTATTTCTATTGCTCATTGCATTATTTTTCGCTTTAACTTTCCATAATATATTGCTGCTGTCCATTGCTTATACCCGAAACGAGGATATCCGCAAAAGAATCATAATAACCGATATAGCCTGAATAATAAGCAAACTGAAATGGCAATGGGCTGGTCATATGACTAGCTATATAGCTATATAGCTATATAGCTCGAAGAATTGACAACTGATGGAGAAGAAAGGTTCTTGAATAGCCATTCCGTATAGGCAAATGCAGTGTAGGACGACTCTTCCCCCCACTAGATGGAGTGACGATCTCAAATGCATTACAAGGAGTCAGTGGATGCAGGTGGCTCAGGACATTTTTTATGGCAGTCTATGAGGGAGGCCTATGTCCAGCAGTGGACGGATAATGGCTGAAATGATGATGATGATAATGATGATGACTGCTTATTTTCCTATCTTCACATCACCCTTCACAAACAATAATACGTGTATGGTAAATTTAATAGCTACTAGTTGAAATTATAAAACGCCAAGAGATAACAAACATTTACAATTTTACTTTTACAATTAGATAACTAGCTTTCTCCCGCGATTCCATTCGTGTTATTGGAACATGTTCACTGAGTGGGGTAAAAAATAAGCTTATGCTCTTCTCCATTAAATATGTACGTGTACACTAAAAGTACGTGTACACTAAATTTCATAGCAATTGGTTAAGTCGTTAAGGTGCTATGACAAACAAA